ACACACACTCTCTCTCTCTCACACACACACAGATACACACACACACACACACACTATACACACACACACACACACACACACACACACACTCTCTCTCTCTCACACACACACAAACACACAGAGCTTTCTAAATGAGCACACATCATACACTTCTATTGTTTTAATATAAAGTGAATAATAAAGACTCCAAACTAATAATCATTTCACCATTGAGGATGTCAGTACAGTGAATTTCAGTCACATTCAGCTCATTTCTTCATCTGTCCAGTATAAACTGGTTTCTGGAAATAAATAAAATCTAAAACTAAGACTGAAAATAAAATAAAATAAAAGTAAAATATAAATTAAATATAAATAGTCATGTATAAAATAAAAAAGACAAATGAACTAAAACCATAAAACTAAAAAAAAAATACTATTATTACTACTATAAAACGAAATAATTACTAATATTTACTATTATTACTGAAATAAAATAAGTGTTGACTGAAATGAAATAAAATGTACTTAAAATACTTACTCTACTTATTTTATTTCAACTAGTTTCCAATGTAACATTTCTCATTTTAATTTAGTTTAACTTGATGAACTAACATAACTAAAACTAATGAAATAAAATGAATAAAAACTATATAAACATTAAATAATAATAATAATAATGAAAAAAACAACAACATAATAACAAAAAATCTAACTAAATTTAAAATATGAATAATCAAATAATTAAAACAAAAATAAAAATAAATTAAACATAAATAGCAATGTATAATTTTTTTTTTAAATGACAAAAGCACAAAAAAATTAAATTAAATTAAAACTAAACAATCAATAAAAATAAAAGCTAACATAATAAAATCAATAAAATCACTTTAATGTAAAATAAAAACGATATTATTAAATAATTATAAAACAACACTTAATTAGATGGCATATTCACATAGACGTGAATGAAAACGTAGCTCAAACAGAAGAGAATGGCAACGTCATGTTTATGAATGCATGAACTGAGAAGATGTACAGCTTTAATGCATTTGGCAAAGCTGCTCAGGATAAAAGCATCTGCCAAATGCATGAATGTAAAAGTAAAACGGAGGCTGTCAGAGACACTGTCTGTTCCATAGGCCTCATCTTCATTCACATCTAAATTACAGTTTTTTAAACTGCTTACACACATTTTCAAAACTTTGCACACAAATCCAAGACCTGCACACACAAAATGCAAAATGCCTCACATCTCTTGCAAAATGCATTCAAAATATCACCTTGCAAACATATTTGCCATAAGAGTCAAGTCAAGTGACCGTTATTTATACAGCGCTTTTTAAAATGCAGACTGTGTCAAAGCAGCTTTACAGTATTAAACAGGGAAAGAGTGTGCCGTTCTCCTCTAGCCAGACTAGACCAGCAGTTTAATACTAAGTTGCAATAATATTAATTCCTGTTAGATTTTTGTGTGTTACATAGAGTAGAATTGTGTTTTTTGCAAAAAAGTGTTTTGTGAAATTGAAAACTGAGTCAAAGGCTGAGAATCAGTGTATGGTTTTGTAGATTTGGTGTGTGCTTCTGCTGTTTGAGTGTCAGCTTTCAGAAACTGTGTGACAAGCAAAGATCTTGTGTGCAAGCAGCTGATAAAAACTGTAAATACAGGTGAATCCTGACTGAAGTCTATAGTGAAGGACAGCAAACACACTCGCTGCTCAGACGTGTTCTGTGCTCTGTGAGTGTTATTCTGGCAAACGGGTAAATCACTGGAGGCTGCTGATGGATTATAGAGTTAAACTGAGTGAAAACACTCACACACCTGTGTATGATGTGCTGGCTCTGCAGGTAGTCGAGCGCCAGCGTCATCTCGCACAGGTAGAGTTTGACGGCGTCCTCGGTGAACTGCACGTTCTGCTGCAGATGATAGCGCAGATCTCCTCCTAACAGCAGATCCACCACCATGAACATGTCCTCCTCGTCCTGGAACGAGTACCTGGAGCACAGGTCAGAGGTCAGAGGAAGTGACATCACATAGCTCTCATTTAACATGCAAATCGCTCTCCTGGTGAACTGATGAGTCGTGTGAGATATCGTCACCATCAGAAGCTCTGCTATCGTCTTTCACAGATTGAGGTTTGCTAATTAAAGTTGTAGAGATGATCTGATTTGGACATTTTCATTAAAGTGTCGACACAGTCTACATTAGCTGTCAATCATCTGTCCATCACACTGCTAACGAACTATTGTAACACAGAGGCTTCTGTCATCTAATCTCCTGAAATCCAAAGTCAGGGAAGCACAGGTTTATTATGTAACTAAAACTAAAACCCTAAAAAAAAAATTTTTTTTAAAAATAAAATAAATGTTGTCAAATAAAATTAAATACAAAAAAATATATATATATAATAAATTCAAAACTACTTTTAATTTTATATCAGCTACTTGCCAAGGCAACATTTCTCATTTCCATTTAGTTAACATAAAATAAAACTAAAACTGAAATAAAAATTTATAAAAACTATAGTGACATAAAAAAAATAAAAATGACAAAAACATGACTAAAAATGACTAAAACTTTAACAAAATGTAAAATAGAATTTAAAGAATTAAATATTTTAATCAGAAAATTAAATGTAAAAAATTTTTTCAGCATTTCTTATTTTTATGTAGTTTAACTTGATGTATTAAAATAACTAAAATGGCAATAGAAATTAATAAAAACTATATAGACATATTTTAAAACCATTAAGGATTATAAAATCAACATTACTAAAACTTTAATCACATTTGAAATATTAATAACTTTTTTATATTTTATTCAGAAATAAAATCTATGCTTATTTCAGCTAGTTGCCAAGGCAACATTTCATTTAATTTATTTAGCTTAAAATAAAACTGAAATAAAAATGTATGAAAGCGATATAGACATATTTAAAACAAAACTAAAATGACAAACACACAACAAAATTGCAAAAATGTTACAAAAATTATTAATCATTCTAAATATTAATAAAAAATATGAATGTAAAACATAATTCCAAATATTACTAAAATTCAAAATATTAATAAAAATTGGAAATATAATAAAAACATACTGTATAATAGTATGTCAGTGATACTAAAATAACACGAATAGTTCGGCTCAGCTGCTGATCACAGGAATGAAGTTTCCATTTCACACTGAGTCCCTCGTTCTCATTATATACTCATGAGATGCTGTGAGGACTCTCTGAGCGGTGTGTGTGTGTGTGTG